ATTGATTTATAAATCCAAGTAGAAGATTTCTAATAATTAATTTAATAAATGTAACCATAAAACGCGCATTAAATTCCGGTACCCCTATTATATGCAGTGGGAGGGATAAGCCATATTTCTTGGGAAGAGTGATTGCAGAAGTTTAATTATTTCAATTTGATCTGGATGAAAATGCACGGATGATAAATCACTGTGATCAGATAATACAGGTCGTCCAACCATATTTACACGGTTTTAATCTGAAAACATATACAACTAAAATAAAAATAACTTATCGTCTTAATTGTTTGAATATTATTTGACTGAGTTTGTTTATCATACTTAAATTGCAAAATAATTTCATCAAATACTCTAATAGCATGAATAATATAATATTAATTATTATAGTTGCAAATTCATACTTGTGTTACAATTTGTTTATTTGTTTTTATTTTAAATAACTTACGTGTGTATTATACCGCATGGGTGTGTCCAATGTATATGAATTATTGTCAAAATTAATCCTGGTGAATTCAATTCAATTGATGATATAATGTTAAACATTTATATAACGCAAAAATTAAATATAATTTTTCAAAACTGATTTATATAAATTTAATTTGTTTTAATTATATTATGTTTAAAATGTTGAGTAAAATATCTGAACCAACTTTCAATACATGATAGTAACTATGAGAGCCCTTGTAAAAAATAATGCGTATCTGATAATGATAAGAAATGAAAATAGTTATTACAGGTATGCGCAAGTTTTGTAAACAGAATAAAAAGTAATTTGATAAAATACAATTATAATATTATTTACCTAAATAATATGGTTTTAAAAATTTAAAGTGTCTAATATTACATAATTATAAAAACAAGTTTTAAAATGTATGTAGTATATACAGTATATGTTATGTTGTGTTTTATATATAATGATTGTGCTTGATATTGTAGATTATAATAACATTACAGGGCTTAGAAATTTAAAACAATAATCATAACATATATAGTACATTTGAATGCCAGAGACTCGAAGTGACTCATCTCTGAATAGACTTACATTACTTATAATTAATTGTATTAAAGCTTTAATTAATATTACTATAGTATACTATTATAGTGGAATAATGTAAAGTATTTTATTTTAAAACATTTTTGACATTTTATTATTATATTATAAAAAATTATAGTATAAATTGCTCAAATATTAAGTTTGAAAGTCTTAAATAATTTATGATGATATTTTTATTATCATCATCTAAATACTTTAATAGACTTAAAATCTCTAAATTTACTAAAACTAATTTGAGATTTGTTTGCTATTTGAATATCAGAAATACATATTTAAAAATAAAATATTTTACATTATTTCACAATAATAGTATATTATACCAATATTTCTCTTAACGTTTTACGATAGGCGCTCATTGGGAAAATTATCGATAGTACATATTATAACCTTTAGCACGTAGTATAATATACTAACAAATAAGTATATGATTGAAATGTAGTACAGGTTTCGATTAATATCGACTATTCCAATGAGCGCCTATCGTATAAAATTAAGAGATTTATTAAAGCTTTAATACAATTAATTATAAGTAATGTAAGTCTATTCAGAGATGAGTCACTTCCAGTCTCTGCCATTCATTTAATTAAATCCACCTGATATAAATTATATAATTTAATTTATAACATAATATAAATATAATCTAAAGTATAATAAATAAATTATAATATTTAACTATAATTCATGTGAAAAATTAAATACTATGATACTATTTTACTAATAAAAATAATCTTGTGAAGAATAATAATAAATTTAATTTAATTATTTAACCATTATAGCGTGTCAACCCTGTAATTCATATTATGTTTATATCGCTGATTCTTTTGTTTGTAAAGACCCATAATAGCCAACAGTTGATTACAGGTAAACATTTTAATAATTTATATTTTCAAGTAAACTAAATGAATATAAATTATATAATTCGTTAATTTTAAATTGTTTAATTTATAAATATATTAGTATCTACAGGTCATGGATGAAGAGCCGATCGACGCGACGGTTAACGTCGGCTTAACTCACAATAACATGTGCGTTTAATGAAGAGATAAAGCGTTTGGAGAAGAACTTAATGGCGCCGAACGGGAGGGACGGGAGGGAGAAGTTGTCCTCAAATCGCAACCCAAATAAGTTCGACACAAATAGCGACAGATACGGCTCCACAAACGGACCCAACGGAGGGTCGGCCGGTCAGCAGACGGGTGGCCCTCAACTGTCTCCGACCTCATTCGCGACGGCAGCCGCAGCCCTGGCCACTGCCGCCGCCGCTAACGGTATATCTGTCAACCAATTGCTGACACAGGTATGGGACAGGCATTCAGATATGAGATAAAAGTTTGTTTTAAATAATTTAAATAATTAATTAAAATAATTGTCCATTTCGTGGTCACTGAATGGCACCGATAGCTGATGGCACAGGCAGGTCAACAGCAAATGCTACTGCAGGCCGCCTTAGCTCAACAGTTACAACAGGCGTCCAAAGTATGTATTGGATTACAGAAACCCATAATTAAATTGTCTGCCTCTGCGTCTGGACTGCAATCCTAATGCTTTATCGTTTTTGGTTGTGGTGTCCATCAGATCCCAGTGACAAACACGCTGTCAGGTCTGAGCGCACAGAATACAGATCTCCAGCAATTGCAGCAACAATTACAACAACTACAGCAACAGCAGCAGAATCTGCAGAATATTCAGCCGTTGCTTCTCCTACAGCAACAAAACCAATTGGCTGGTGGTTTGGGTCAGTTGAGACAGATGGGACCGCAAGAATCACGTTTCAATCAATTGTTGAAAAACGTGAGCTCACAGTCCCAACAGTCCATCGACGGCACCGGTAACCAGTTGTCGCACACCTCCAACAACACCTCTTCAGGCCACGGCAGCCATAATGAGACACAACAGCACCAGTCGTCGCACCAACAGTCTAGTGGTGGCCAACAGTCTGACCACCAGTCATCCAATCACTCGCAACATCACCACAACAGCTCCGGTGCCGTCAATAATGGTACCAATCATTTGCAGTCGACTCACAGCACCACTCATAACAAGATCAGTACAAAAAGTTTCGCCAATAGTTTCACCAATAGTACCAATAACCTCACGAATAGTAACAACACGTCAACCCTACTCAACACACACCCGCCGCTCAAAGCGGTCGCCACCCGACCCACGGATCCCAACCCCGACGAGATGGCAGACCTCTATGAGTTGGAACAGTTCGCCAAGACTTTCAAACAGCGACGGATCAAATTAGGTATGCCTTCAATGTCTACCCTATCTGTCAATACGTAACACTTTTTTCTGTCAGTTTAAGAATCGATAAAAAAAGTTTTTTTCATTCAAATGAATAAGATTTGCGCGAAAAGTACCCAAACCTATATTAAAACACAAACCATTTCTGTTATTTCCGTTTTACTGCGGACACATTTAGGCTTCACTCAGGGAGACGTAGGTCTAGTTATGGGTAAACTATACGGCAATGACTTGAGTCAGACCACGATATCGCGGTTCGAGTTGTTGGACCTATCCTTCAAAAACATGTGGGAATTGAAACCATTGCTCCAGAGATGGCTCGAAGACGCCGAAGCCTCACTCAATAATCCAATGGCATTTCAACTGAGAGGTATAACACATTAAATTTCACAAACTAATATATTCAAAAGAAATTTGTAACAATTTTTACATTAATAGTAAATATATATTTTGTTAATTCTTATTAAGATTTAAAAGATAGCGAGGAAAGGAGTGTCTATAAAGAAGTGTTAAATTTGCCAAAATTTGATCCCAAATGGAAAATACAAACTGATGAAGCTAGCATTATAAAAGTTAATATTGATTATTATCAAAATTCATTTGAAATGGTATGTAAAATTGGATCAGGAAGTTTCGGAGATGTGTTCAAGGTGAAATGTGTATCAACAGGTGAAGAATATGCTGTTAAAGTAATTGATTTTATAGCGAAAGGTATATTTTTAAATAACTAATTATTTGTAACTAATTTAACAAATTATTGTAGAATTGACGGATAAACATAAAAGAGATGTTTATAAAGAAGTGGAATATTTAAAGCGAATTGACAACAAATATATCGTCCACTGTATGGACGCGTGGAGGGAAATGGATGTCGTTTACATTCAGCTCGAGATGTGTTCACAAAATTTAACGAATATTCTGGAAATCAAACCACAAGTATTCAAACGTTTACCAAAAGAACCCATGAATTCATACGAATATATCATTTCGTGTGAAATATTTAGAGAAGTTTTAGAATGCGTTCAGTATTTACACGGATTGTCACTCATTCACAGAGACCTCAAACCCGACAATATATTAATTTCGGACAATTCATTAAACGAACGAATCGTAAAGTTATGTGATTTCGGTTTAGTTACAGAACACGATAATATTATTCACAATAAAACAGTCAATAAACACACAGCAGAGGTGGGAACCGAGCTATATATAGCGCCAGAAGTTATATTGGGTGCAAAATACAACCACAAATGCGATATTCATAACCTGGCTGTTATTGGTGGTGATATATTCGGAACAAAAGTTCTCACTGATTTTGACAAGTAATTCATAATTTAAATTAAAAATATTGTTTTCAATAATTTTTTGAAGTTAATATTTTTCATAATTTTTAGTAACCAACCATATTCATTAACAAACAGGCAATTAAATGGACCGGTAGCCCATTTGAAGCATGTTTTGGATCAAATGCTTGTCAGGCGCTGGAATGAAAGGCCGGAATGTAGTGAAGTGTTGGCTAAATATAACGAGTGGTCTATCGATAAGAATATTATCGCAAATGATGCGGAATTTGAGTCCACAGTAGAGAGAGTTCATGCGATTGAGACACAGATAAGGGAAAGGGATGAAAGTCAGAGAGACAAACAATATATTAATTACAGACTTAATACAGACTATTATGGCGTACAGAATGGAAAACATTTTTTCAAAAATTATTTATCATATATATCAATGCACTAGAATATATTGCTAATATTCAAATATTATTTGTTTTATTATTTCAACAATGTGTTTTAAAAATAAAAATCATAATATATTTATCAAATATTCATTGATTTCTCTGTAATCGTGGCAAACCTCGGACCAATTTCTTGGTCTGTTTGACGATCGAAGTGTTGAGGTCGTCGAGGAAGTCATGGACAGTGCGCTTATGGCTGTCCTCCAGATCCACATTAATGCCACTCTTGAGTAGTAGGCGAACCACTTCTATCTTACCGAATAGGGCCGCCTCGTGGAGGG